CAAAAAGAATAATGGAAAATGGCGAATGTGTGTTGATTATACTGATCTCAATCGGGCATGCCCGAAAGATGCATTTCCTTTACCAAACATAGACATGCTGGTCGACAACTCGTCCGGTTATAAAATACTGTCATTCATGGATGCCTATTCAGGCTATAACTAAATCCCAATGGCCATGAGCGATAAGCATTGCACTACTTTCATGACCAGCTCAGGCAACTATTACTACAACGTAATGCTCTTTGGTCTAAAAAACGTAGGGGCAACATACCAATGTATGATGAACAAAGTGTTCCACAACCAAATCGGGGACATGCTCGAGGTGTATATGGACAACATGATCGTCAAATCCCGAGCAGATACCGACCATGCAGCTCACCTCAAATAAGTCTTTGCTCAAGCAAGACAATGTAAGATGAGATTCAACCCCGAGAAGTGCACATTCAGGGTCAAGGAGGAAAATTCCTCGGTTTTTACCTGACAGAACAAGGAATCGAAGCTAACCCCGACAAGTGTCGAGCCTTCTCCGACCTCCCGACACCCACGTCGAAAAAATCCATACAAGTCATGAACGACATGCTCACCTCGCTATCCCGCTTTGTCGCGAGATCCGCTCAGCACGCCCTCCCCTTCTTCAAGCTCCTTCGCAGGGAGGCAGCCTTCGAATGGACCGAGGAATGTGAGCAGGCGTTGTGCCACCTAAAACAAAGCCTATCCCAACCGCCGGTTCTATCCCGGCCCGCCACCGGGGAACCATTGTTCATATACCTAGCGGTCTCGGACAAAGCTGTCAGTGCGGATCTCATTCGCGAGACGCCTGGCAGATAAAAACCCGTCTACTTTACGAGTAAAGCACTGCAAGGACCTGAGGTCAGGTACCAACAGATAGAGAAAGTAGCTCTAGACCTCGTCAACACGGCGAGGAGACTAAGACAATATTTCCTCGCTTACACGATCATAGTGAGAACTGACCAGCCAGTGAAGCAACTCTTGGGTCGACCTGACATGGCAGGTCGAATATTAAAGTGGTCCTTGGAACTCTCTGAGTTCGACATTCAATACGAGATTAGGAAAGCCCTAAAGGCACAGGCTCTGGCCGACTTCATCGCAGAAATGACCGCTCACAACCCCCCTGCAGGAAAAGAGCACAAGTGGACTATCTTCGTCGACGGAGCATCCAGCTCATCCGGAAGCGGCGCGGGAATCCTCCTGGAAAACGAGGAGGGCGTGGTGATCGAGCACTCGCTCACCCTCTCCTTTCCGACTTCAAACAACCAAGCAGAGTAAGAGGCCCTGCTCGTGGGACTAAGGCTAGCCGAGGACCTAGGGGCACGTGAAGTACAAATCTTCACAGACTCTTAGCTCGTCGCTTCCCAAGTCCAAGGGAGTTACCAGGCTAAAAACAATAGCCTCATTGAATACCTGAACTTAGTCAGAGAATACATGAAGAAGTTTGACCGAGCAGAAATATCGCACGTCCCGCGCGAGCAAAACACTAGGGCTGACATACTTTCGAAGCTCGCAAGCACAAGAAAGAAGGGCGGGAAAAAATCCGTCATACAAGAATCTCTATCGCGCCCGAGCATCGAAAAAACCTTGACCCCTGTCGAGGTGCATGCCATCGGAGACGCTTCGTGCTGGATGACCCTGGTGTTCAACTTCCTAACAAAGGGCGAGCTCCCTTCGGACCGGACAGAGGCGACCGCGACCAAACGACGAGCGTGCTCTTACGTGGTGCTCGAGCATAAACTATACCGCAGGGGATTCTCCATTCCCCTCTTGAAGTGCATCGACGAATCCATAGTCCCCGAGGTATTACGGGAAATACACGAAGGGATCAACGCCCAGCACATGGGCGACAAGTCCCTGAAAAGGAAGGCTTTACGTGCGGGGTACTACTGGCCGACAATGCAACAGGACGCGAAAGATCACGTTAAGAGGTGCGACAAGTTCCAGAAGCACGCCGACATGCATCTCGCTCCCCCTCACGAGCTGAGCATACTGTCATCCGCGTGGCCATTTGCCTGGTGGGGGATGGATATCCTCAGACCATTCGTACAAGGGACGTACCAAAACAAGTTCCTTATTGTGGCCGTGGATTACTTCACGAAATGGATAGAGGCCGAGGCCCTTGCAAATATCACCTCGCACAACATCCTCTACTTCTACAAACTAAACGTCCTCGCCCGATTTGGGATCCCGAAGGCACTGATCACAGACAACGACACCCAATTCACCGACCAAGGGTTCCGAAGCTTCATCGCCAAACTCGGGACCAAACAACATTTTACCTCAGTCGAGCATCCCCAGACCAACGGGCAAGCCGAGGCTGCCAACAGGGTCATCCTGCGAGGACTCAAACGCCGGCTAGGCGAAGCAAAAAGGGGGTGGGTCGAGGAACTACACAGTGTCTTATGGGCTTACCGCACCACACCCCACTCGACGACGGGCGAAACCCTTTTCGACTAACATACAGCACCGAGGCCATCATCCCCGTAAAGATCAGGGAACCCTCCAGGCGGACAGAGATGCCTCTCAACGAGGAAATGAACGACGAAGCCCTTAGAGACGAACTCGACCTGGTCGAGGAAATTCGATCAGGGGAAGCCCTACGCGAGGCCATTTTGAAACAACGAGTAGCCCTGCGTCATGATGACAAAGTCATCAGACGCGAGTTCCAGATCGACAACCTAGTCTTGCGAAGGAACCAAAAAGATTCGCGCGAAGGGAAATTGGCCGCAAACTGGGAGGGACCCTACCGCGTCCAAGGCGCTACAGGCACCGGAGCGTATTACCTCGAGCAGTTAAACGGAGAACCGCTACCACGACCATGGAATGCTGCTAAGCTAAAACAGTACTATAGCTAAAGTCCTCAACCACTGTGAACTTTCTTCGTCGAACATCCACCCTTATCCAACAAAGGGGAAAAGTCCTGACCACGTAGGCGAGTCGAGGTACAGACCCGACCTACCAACCACTGAGGGGCGTATCGTCGTTCACCCAACAAGCTGGACGACTATGCCCGGCAGGGACACCTCGATCGAGCTCCACTGTCGAAGTACCCACAAGGCAGAACACTCAGATCGCGATGGGAAGTTCACGCCGCGAACGTAGGACCCCGATCTGGGTCATACGCCCGACACGCGGATTCCACTCCGTGCATTCGACGCATTTCGAAGTGTGTCGAACCATCAGAAGGGTCGAAAGGATATCTCCACTCGAGAACAAAACTTCAAAATATTCGTTACGAAAATAGTAGTCAAGCATTAGCCGGGATACGAGTAGATTATTGCCAAGATAAATATCCATCAAAAAGAAAAACATGCACAAAACAGGTTAATAATGAACCGACCAAGAAGGCCGGTGATGTTCAAGGTTACAAACCATGGCACAACGGCCAAAAGAAATCAAGAATTAGCATCGGCACGCAGGCCCCAAAAAAGGAACACGGGCACGCAGGCCCCAAAAACAAATAAATACACGGGCACGCAGGCCCAAACATTAACTTGATGCTAAACACCCCCAGGACTACCGGCATCTACATCAGGAGACTCGGGAGGAGGCACGACCTGACCATCAATAATCTGGGACAAGAACCCGACTCCCTCAGTGTTCATGCCTGGATTCAGGACGGATAGCTGACTGATCACGGCCTCGAACCCGTCGGCTAGGGCACCGACGCAGTATGACTCGAGAAGGTGGATACGAGCAACCAAATTTGAACGGATGCGCAAAGAGGCTATCTCCCCTGGCTCGTCATCAGCAGGAAGCATACCGGCCTTTAGCTCCTCGATTTCCTTGGATAACTGTTGGTTGTCGCTCTTCAACCATTCCTTGTCAAGTTGGAGGCAATCCATCTCCTCGGAAGCCTTCGCGGTCTTTTCCTTCTCCCTCGACAGCAGGTCGGCCTGCTCACAAAACATCTCCTCGGAACGCTCGAGGGCCGCCTTTAGCTTGCGAGATTTGGTAGCGAAAGCAGCCTTCTCCAATTCTAACTCCCTAACCCGGTCAGAGGAATCTGATCCTTCCCTTGCAAGGACCACGACCATCTCGTCCATCTTCACTACGCCGACCATGCTGGCGGCGAGGTGTTTCCTTCGGCCTTCTTTGTCGAGCCGTTTAATAATGTTGGCCTCGTTATCAGACACTGTTAGAGGAAACCCTCGAAGAAATCCTTTTCTGCAAAGCAGGGAGGTAAGCAAAGGCTCGGGCAGCTGCGGGCTCATCGCCAGTTTTCGCTCTGTTCTCTGTCCGACCCCTCTTCCTGCCAACCAGCTCGGTCAGTTGCTCGACATCGGGAGAGCCCGAGGACCCACTGGACGCATCTCTACCCGAACTGGCTGGCGGGCACATCCTCGTGGCTTGCGGTGCCCTCACTAACCTCTTTCTTATCTTCTTGTCTTGGGTCAGCTTCAACAGCCTCTCTCGACGTTCAGCCATGTGACCTGCAAAGAGGAGCGAACCCGGGTTAGCTACAAGCGAGCAAAAGCAATGAAAATGGAATAAAACAATAAAAGCAGAAGCGAGAAACCTAGCAGATCTACGGTCTGCCCGTAGGATTGGCATTCAACGAGCGCCTTGGTGTTGATGGGGTGCGCCTCGAACGTCGGGTAGCCATCCTCATCAAGAATGTCATCCCCTTCCCTCGTGACCCACCGGGCGGGGAAGAAGCTATCAACAAACTTGCAAAGGACAACATAGGCCTCCTCATCCTCGACACTCATACTCCTCGCAGGGGTATGATAGTGCCCGGTGCCATGCTCATAATGACCCGAGCACCAATGGATCGGGAACTTGGAGATCCGCCCGAATACGGGACTACCCTCAGCATCCACGAGGGGCTCCCCGTCCCCGTCGACCACCACAATTTCCAATTCGAATAGAGAGTCCATGGCAGTTTGAGTGGCCGGCTGCAACACGTACCATTTATCTTTGAAATCCCTCACCGAGTCCATGTACATCCTGAACAGCCTCTTCGACTGTTTTAGGGATACCCAGCTATGTTTGTCTCCTTGAGACTGACGTTGCAGATGAAAAACCCTGAAGAAAAGGGGAATCGTCGCCCCAATTCTCAGGAAACGGCAGGTCAGCTCGAACGCCTGGAGGAAGGCGATCACGTTGGGGTGGAGCTGCGAGGGGGGCAGGTTCAGATGACTAAACACCCGACTTGAAAGTCACTAAAGGGCAGCCTAAGACCGAGATCCCTGAACACAATCTCATACATATGGAACGCATACTCAGTGAACTCCGAGCAGATACGGGCGTCAATCACCGGCCTCATTATTCTAAAATTCTTTTGAAAACCTTCCTGAGTGTCGCCGTGCTCAACGACGATATAAGCACGCCGACTACGACGGCAGTACGCCGAAGCAATTCCCCGGGGCTCGGCGTCCACCCAGTCCAACGTAGGGTCGTCGATGGTGTCGACCAATGTAACGTTCTCTTATGTACTTGTTTCCTCGACGTCATTATGTCTCGAGGATTTCAGATTATCGGCCATTTACCTGCAAAGCACAGGAAACCGATGAATTCAACAGCAAATCCGCGTGCTCGCCACAGAGGCGGGGAGAAGTACACAACGCTCAGATCGAAACTAAAAGCCGAACACCGACACCCTACCTCCGACCATGCATCAATCATGGATAACACGAGCGTAACATGAGCGCCCCGGGCAAATCATGAATCACGCGACCAAGTTCCTGACTTCGCCTACCCGACACTAGAATATCGCGAGGAGACTACCCTACATACTTCCTAAAAGGATGAACATCCTGGCCAGTTCATGAGTATGTCGACTAAACGCATGAGTGTCACGGGCAATATCATGAATTGTATGCCTAAAACTATGAATATCACGTGCAATATCATGAATTATGTGCCTAAACTATGAATATCACGGGCAATATCATGAATTATGTGCCTAAACTATGAGTATCTCGAGCACAATCATGAATCAGGCGCCTAGTGCGCTTGAATCTACTGGGCATTACTTCCAAATATAGGTTTCTAGTATAAAAAATATCATTAAAGCTACCCACAACACAGAGAAACAGGAGGAAGGGACACTTACTTGGAAGAAGAGGGGTACAAACGACGGTGGTGAGAGTAATCAACGACGAACGGTGCGGCAGTCTCACAGTGTTACGAGAACCAACAGTTGCGGAAACAGAGAAAGAAGGAGGAGCGTGAAGAGGAAAAACAGATTATGGGCCCAAGGGTCCTATTTATAGAGATGACGTGGAATGTGAAACGTCGCTCCAGGGAGACACGAACTTCCCCCATCCTCGACACCTACCCTCCTAGGCAATGATGACCCTATTTACTAGGGCGGCGTTGTAGTTCCCAAGGACTACGCCACATGTCCGACAGACGCAACCCAGAGATCCCCGCGAGAGTTCCTCGAACACGCTTCGAAAGGTAAAGCCATGGGTCGGCATTGGGTCCCCGCGGAAAAAGCAAGCTAAGATCAAGTCATAACTCCTGTGCCAGGAACAACGACTTGGGGGGCTCCTGTTCTGGACTGGGTCCACCTTGGCCCAAAGTGCAAATAAAGGCCCAGATTCAAGCAGCTCCTCGGGGAGTGCTCATAATCAGACCATCACTGAACGTGCTCGACCACAGACTACAGTGGCAATGCCCGCCGTTACCCGCAACGAGCAGCGTCCCCGACCAAGGGAACTCTAGCTCGAGTCTGGCTCGAGCATCCTCCCCGTAGGGCAGATTCTGTCCACTCCAACCGTTATGGGATCCTCAAAGCTCCGGAAAGACCACGTCTTCGTTCTTCCTCATTCTTCGCAGAGCACCATCCAGGAAGGGGACCACGTGCGGGTCCCCACTACACACGTAGAACCTGTCAGTTCCTTTATTGGGTCAGTTCTGGTCGGCCCAATGAGGGGACCTTGGCCCAGCGCTGGGGGCTATAAATACCCTCTATTTCAAGAGGGTCAGATATTCATTCATTACACACCTACATACTTTTGTCTGCTCATTCTGTCTCTCATTTTATCATCGGAGTGTCTTGCAAATGCCCCCACTTCATCCAAATTCAATTCGAGTCAACTGTGACGGTCCAAGTCTGATCCGATAAAATCAACTTTTTTATTTAACTTTTTATTTTATAATTTTTATACTAAAACAACATTGGTTAATAATATATAAAAATTTGATTAACACAATTCATACTTTGACTAAATATATATTCAGACATTAAAAAGTAGTATTAAGTAGTAAAAATTATTTTCGTTAATGAAATATTAAAATTTGATTAATATAATTTAAAGTTTAGTTAATATATATCTATAATATAAGAAAAATAGAACTTTTCCTTCAATTAATTTGCAACCGACACATGGCTTTTTGAGAATTAAGTAAATTTTTTGTTTTCGTTTTTTTTTTCCAAAACTTATCTCTTATTTCGTTTTCTCCACAAAAATTGTCGTCTACAAAAACAATTCTTTTCCCCTTCTCACCGTTCCACTACCAGTATCCCCATGTTCTATAGCGGTTACAACCATCATCAATGATGGTTTGAGAACTCTAGTCTCCATTTGATTCAGTTCAACCCCAGGCTAGGCCACCGAATCACACATCTTATTTCTTCTCCATTTTCGTTCCGATCTTTCATTTGCTTGAATGCACTCTTTTATTTTCAGAGTTTAGCTCTAGGACACTCCAAAGTTGAAGGAATTTCTCGGCTTACAACTGTGGTTCTTGGTACAGATGAATCAAACAGCAAGTTGGTGCAACAACTCTATAAGTTAGTGGATCTGCATAAGGTTCAATATCTCTACCAAAATAAATGCATCATGTTTTCTCTACTTTGATTCTTCTTCTTCTTTCCCACTGCTTTTAATATTTTAAATTTGAATGACATTTCTGAAGGAAGCACAACAGGGCCAGAGTTGAATAGCCTCATGTTTTCTCTAATCTTAAGGACTTCTTGAAATTACTGAAAGGAGAGCGAGATGAATAGCCTCTCGTTGGGCTTCTTCTGGCCACCAAGTTTTACAAAGTTGACGATCGCTCCTCACTACTCAACGTTTACGAGGATGTTAGTTCTCTCTTTCTTGATCGGCTACTTAGAATTGGTACTTGCTTTTCCATTATCTACTGATTTCCCACCATATTCAGTTCATAATATATTATTGACATTATCTTTATCTTCTACCAAAAAGGTATGGGAAAAGGAACCATATCAAGTAGCGGGGACAACAACCGAGATGCATATTTGAACATGTCGATTGCAGTTCTTGCTACCCTTTGTCGTGTTCTAGAGATTGCATCCTCTGAAGACATGATTTCCAAGATCCCAGTGATATTGGAAGTAATTTCCACCCAATACTGTGTTTTTCTTTCTTTCGCGTTACTTATTCTAATTTCCACTGCCGTTGTGTGAACGAGTCTCTCAGCCTCTACACAGTCTGTTCACTATTCTCACATTCAACTATAGTATTTCCTTTCTTAACTGACCCGTTAAACCAAACCTACTTTCCATGTACCTCAGGAACCAAACACGTTCGTTTCAAAGAGCAAAGGGAACGAGAAGGAAATTCTAATAGCTTCTTTGCAGGTTCTCATCTTAAAATGTTGTTTAATCTTCTATAGTTGCTTAATTGTTCATTTATTCGGTTATTTGACTAATCTTATCATAGGTTGTGAGGAAAATTCAGTTGTGGATTCATGAATTTGATTCTTCAATTATAGACATTTTAGTAAGCTCATGCTGCCCTTTCATGAAAAAAGTTGGTATTGATGTAAAATTTTCCACACTGTTGTAGATTAGTAGCATGTGGAAAAGAGTGCAATGTGTTGTGTCCTCTCACTCCTCTGTTTTCTTTCCCATTCATTTTCCTTGATATTGGATAACTCGTGTATCCCAATTTTTGGCATTATTGTGACAGGTCTGCATATTGGGAAGATATTGCTTTTCCCATGAATAGAGTGATACATCCTTTGTTGGTTAATATTCTACGTTTTCAAATTGAGATTTGAGTTTCTAAAAATTACCGAACAATAGAGTGTGGTTAGTAATGCATCTGTTTTGGCTCAGTATGCTACTTCAAGCTATCCACAGAGTTCTTAATGCATGGATTTCGTGTGCTACACCTAATGTTAATCTTCGATGAGGATTTAGAAGTGTAAGTAAATAATGCAATTTTTTGTATTTATATTCTTCCCTAATATCATTCCATGAATCTCATTTTAAATTCGTTTGTATAGAGGGAATCCTCAATGCATTTGAAGACATCCATCCTTCATAGCCACTAAAAGATAATTGTTTGTCTTTTAGTGACTATGACCTGACTGAAAGTGGAGGTGGGGCAGCCATAATGATAGGTTTTGATGAGGCTAAGCAACATGGTTCCGTGAGTCGACTAGCAGAAAATATGGAGGCTAAGATCATTGACCCTGTTACTGGAGAAACATTATCTCCTGGCCAAAGAGGGGAGCTTTGGATTAGAGGATCAACGATCATCTCATATAATTATTTAAGTCAAACTTGCTTACTTATTGTCTTTGATTACATGTTAATCATCCTAAGGTTTTTCCTTGATAAAACTAACACCTGAAACTTAACTTTTGTAGATTGGAGGAGCTTGACGGCTTCAGGTCTTGGACATTACTAATCTCCCAATCATACATTACAGGCTGCATCTCCGGAAGAAAGGAAACAAATTTTCCTAAGTATAGCGGATGCCTTGGAATCGCATCGGAAAGAGACCAGGATCAAAAAATGAAGCTGACATTGCAGCAGCTCAAGCAGCTGGATATGAAAAATCATTAGTTGCTAGGCTGGCTTAAAAGAACGAGAAGGCAAAACGGTTCACGTAAAGAAAATTTATTTAAATTTTAGTTAACTAATCTTACATAATTGTTGAATTTTAAACAAATTGCAAAATTTATCATGATAAACTATGATAATCGACATATTGCATGCCTTGCCAACAACATACGAATTATTGCAAACATTGAAGATCCAACTGGTTGAATTTTACAATGAACTGAGGTAATGAATAGTTTGTTTTGGCTATATATATATATACTCGTATTTTTGTTGCCAAGTCATAAAATGATGTTTTCAATGTTTCTCAGGATGTCAATGATAGTAATCTATTTTATTTTAATTAACAATGAGTTTTATTTGAAAATTAAAATCTTTATTTTCTATGTAAATTTTTTTTTTTCTTTCTCCATCTCACTGGTTCTCTTTTTTCTTTTTATTTATATGATTATTTAATATAATTGAATTTTATGATAATAATTTATTTTATAATTAAATATCTCATTTCAATATATGATAATTGAATTTTATGATAATTATTTTTTTATGATTAAATATATTTTATATCATATCAAATAAATTCACCTGTACGGGAAAAAAAGTTATTGATCAAAATATTTAATATTAACATGAATATGAAGTTAGTGATCAAAATATTGAATATTAATAAAAACATGAAATTATTGATCAAAAACTTTGAATATTAACGGGAACATGAAATTATCGATCAAAATATTGAATATTAACGTAAATATGAAGTTATTGATCAAAATATTGAATATTAACAAAAACATGAAGTTAATGATCAAAATATTGAATATTAACGGGAATATAAAATTACTCATCAAAATACTGAATATTAACGGGAACATAAAGTTATTGATCGAAAAATTGAATATTAACGGGAAAATGAAATTACTGATAAATTTTTTAAATATTAACGGAAACATGAAGTTACTGATCAAAATATTGAATATTAATGAGAACATAAAGTTACTGATCAAAATATTAAATATTAACGGGAACATGAAGTTATTGATCAAACTATTGAATACTAACAAGAACATGAAGTTATTAATTAAAATATTGAATATTAACGGGAACATGAAGTTATTAATCAAATTGAATATTAATGAGAAGATGAAGTTACTAATCAAAAGATTGAATACTAGCAGGAACATGAATTTGATGATCAAAATATTGAATATTAACGAAAATATTAAATTACTGATCAAAATATTGAATATTAACGGGAACATGAAGTTACAGATCAAAATATTGAACATTAACGGAAACATGAAGTTACTGATCAAAATATTGAATATCAATCAAAATATTAAATTACTTATCAAAATATTGAGTATTAACGAGAACATGAATTTATTGATTAAAATATTGAATATTAACGAGAATATGAAATTATTGATCAAAATATTAAATATTAATGGAAAATAAAGTTACTGATCAAAATATTGAATATTAAAGGGAACATGAAATTACAGGTAATTTTTTTGAATATTAACAGAAATATGAAATTACTGAACAAAATATTGAATAATAATAAAATAATTTTACTATTGATTTAAATATTTTTTACAATAATTTCAAAATAAAAATAATATTTATATAAAAAATATATATATTATTAACTCAAATATTTTTATATATTGAAAGAATTTATAGCATCAATTTATTATCTATTTTAAAAATATTATTTTTTAATTATATTTTGAAAACAAATGTGCGTACCATACCGGTACTGTGCGAACGCACGGGTATCCCACTAGTTCTGACATAAAAAAGTTAATATGTGTACCGTTCAGATTTTGATTAGTAGTTCATATAAAATTGATTAATACAGTTCATAATTTGATTAATGCGTTTTCAAACATAAAAAAAATAATTTAAATAGTAAAATAAAGTTGGTTAATAGAGTATAAAAGTTAATTAATACATTTATAATTTAGAGGCGGAATATGGTTAATGCTATATATTTTATTGGTTAATGAAATAGTGAAAGTGGTTAATGAATTATAAATAAAATAATTGGTTAATGACATATTTTTGTGCTTAATACAATTGTGAAGTTGGTTAATGAAACAACCATATATTTGTATTATAAAATAAAATTTAAAAATAAATAAATTTTTTTAATTTTTTAATTTTAAAAATAATATTACTTTAATAGAAATACACTGTTCACCGTATAAATATGGTGAACAGTGCATACAGTGTCAAATTGAGGTGTAAAGGGTGGTGTCAAGATACATTCATCTAAATTGGTAGTATGAACTATGCTATCTTGACACCACATTTATACTTACACCTTACACTGTATATATTGTTCACTGTATTTATACGATGAACAATGTTTTTTAATAACATGATATTATTTTTAAAATTTATTTTATAATAAAAATATAAATTTGTGTCATTAAACAACTTCACAACTGTATTAACTATATAAATGCATATTATTAACCAATTATTTTAATTATAATTCATTAACCAATTTCAATACTTCATTAATCAATAAAATACATACTATTAACCATATTCTGACACTAATTTATAAGTGTATTAATCAATTTTTAGACTCCATTAATAAATTTTATTTTACTATTTAATATTTTTTTATGTTTGAGAACTCATTAACCAAATTATAATTTGTATTAATCATTTTTGTACATAATATTAACCAAAGTCTTTATGGTGTATATATTAAATTTTTTGTCAGAATATATATTAACCAAACTTTAAACTATATTAACCAAATTTTTCTATACTATTAACCAAAATTGTTTTAGAGTAAAAATTTAAAAAAAGTCAAAATAAAAAAGTTACTGTTCACTATATTTGTGAACAGTAACTACAATGTAGGTGTAAGATTGGGTGTCAAAATAACATTACTCATTTAAATGTTTTGAAATATACAGTTGAAAAATGTTTATGGTTAAAACTTTTTTAATACACAGGAAGAAGATTGAAATTAGGAGTTTTAAAATTTAAATTTTGGTTGCAATAATGGAACAAATATGATTGAAATTATCTAATGGAATTCTTATGCAGCCGCGCATGTAATTTTAAATTACATCACAATTGTAATCAAATGCTTTTATGAAAACTTTCACATCAACAATAACTATGAATGCGGCATGCAATTTTAAACTTGAAGAAGAAAAGTTACTGGGACCAAAATAAATCAGAAAGACTTTTCTCTATAGCATGGTTTGACCTCTTTTATTCTTCAAAGCCTTATACTATATTCTCAATGTTGGTACTAGACAAGTTTTAATTAGGTTAACAATTGTGTCCTATTCACAATTAGTTTTGTAATTGTACTAGTTAAAAAGTATATGTGTGTGAAGTCTTCCTGCAAAGGCAGGGAGACTCAGAGACCTTTGTAGTATATTATGTTGTATGGTGGTTAAGGCTTATCCAGGACGATGAGAAGTCCTATACAATGATGTTTAATAGTGGCTTTATGACTCATGCTCATGTCAGGTGAGAGACCATGAATATGATCAGTGGGCTTAGTATAAGCATATGGGGTATGGCCACTATGCGTTATGACCTTGTTAAGTGTTATGCTTTAAGGTGTAATGATATATAAGGCTTAAGATTCATCCCTTTTCCCATAAGGGAAGCGTATTTATACAGGCCTTTTAGACCTAGGGTTTGAGTAACCCTGGGCGGCGATAATCACTCCCTTCTAATTAGGAGAAGGTTATTGACCACCTATCTTTCAAGAGTTAGTGGAAAGTCCCACTCCCTTGACTAATGTCCTTACACATCATCAGTACCCATGGGCGAGTCTCCAAGGTATCGCCTGAGCGATATGATTCTTATCCCTCAAGCATGAGAACTTTGCTAAGAACGAAGTGTTATAAGCCCCTTTTCCATTCAAAGTGCGCCCTTGCCATACAGTGAATCCCTTAGTCGAAGGTGGCCATACATACAGAACGAGTCCCTTAACCATTAACGAGTCCCCCAGCTAAAGGCGACTATATTTAAAGAGCGATTATCTCAACTATGGGAGAGTCCCTAAGCTGGAGGTGAGTACATATAAAGGGTGAGTCCCCCCGCTATGGGAGAGTACCTAAGCTGGAGGTGACTACTTACTTGAGCCACCAAAGGATAAGCCAACTTCCAGATGTCTCTGGGTTAACTAAAAATGTCACTTGGGAATGTCAATCAATCATCCAACATGTCATGCTTACTTTCATTTAATGTAGGCAATGATGGCCTGTTTTTGAGACCCTAAACATTAGTGGCATGTGTCGGAAACATGTTGAGTTTTTTTTTCAAAAACCATGTGGGGGTCCAATGGGTCCTATATAACTTTCACTATAAAATATTTTTCTCTTTGAAGTTTATTCCATTTTATTCTTTATTCCTGCAAGGTTGTATGAACTTTTCACCCCTGTCTCCTATTCGTTCGCAACCTTCTTCGAGGTATGAATCCCCTTTTTCTTTACTTTCTATAGTGATTGGGTTTTATGAAGATATGTTCGAGTTGGGGTTTTAGGCTAAGCATATGGATTTCAGGTTAGTGCCCCCTTTCTGACGATTACGACAGTGGTGGTGATTTCTTTTTGTTCTACTATTTTCTCAAGAGCAAAAGTGATAATGCCTACCTCCTCCTCCGTGTCCAAGGATGTTGACGATTTTGGAAATAGTTATAATTTTGAAGAACAAATCCTCCTTTTCCGATCGGGAATAAAGGTTTCCTTTTCAAGGGATGAAGACCAGGTCTTTGTGGAGATTTGCTCGCCGTCAGAGAGGGTGACCATGCCTATCTCCTCTGGACCTCCCTTTCCATAACTCTACTTTTACCTCACTTTCAACAAGAATATGGGGGTTATTTTCCCTATTTCCCCTTTACTGTAGAGATATTAAGAGT